AGGTCCGGTGTTTTACAGACGTCTTTTCCGTGGAAGTCCTCGGCCACGAACGGGACAGCCGGGTATGACTCCTTCACGCCATCATATGTATCACCTGCCGTTCCCTTACCTGTGATTACAGAATAATTTAACAAATAAATTAATTGTTATTATAAATAATATGTATATACGGTATACCTGTTTGAACACCAGTCATATGGTTGAGCACTACGTCCACATATATCCGGACACCAACTTTATTACATCGCTTAACCATATCTGCGAATTGCTGTTCATTACCACTCCTGCCATCAATCTTATAGCTGACGGGTTGATACCTTTCCCACCAGGGTCTCCGGTCTATATTAGCGCACTCGTGAACCGGCGACAACTGAACCCCTCCGAAACCATACGGTCCTAAAAATAGTTCACATTCTTTGGCGATCTCTGAGTACTTCCATTCCATGAGATGTGTGACCACTTGCCGGTCGTCCACAAAGTGTGGGTCACTGTTAGGACTGGCATTACAACCCACTATTGTTAAGCCAATACACAAAAGCAATGTATGCGCGAACATTGTACAGAATCCTGTAAAAGTTTTCTAGGATCTAAAACTTGAACAACAATTTCTGATTCACTGTTAGGACTGGCATTACAACCCACTATTGTTAAGCCAATACACAAAAGCAATGTATGCGCGAACATTGTACAGAATCCTGTAAAAGTTTTCTAGGATCTAAAACTTGAACAACAATTTCTGAGACTTTTATACTTTCGGGAAAATACCAGCACTTATGGTTCGCACCGTTATCACCATTTATCATAAATAACACAGGTACTATTATTATTGAGATTCTTCGAAAAGTTCCCAGTCAAACACTCTTATCGTAACCCAGTTAATTAATTGGTTAAATTAATTAATCCCCAGATTTTAGCTTACATAAATGATAATTAATTAAATAGATTATACTACATGATTTTTATAAACATGTTTAAAATGTACTTAAGAATTAAGTATTGTATAAAAATTTATATGGATTTGTCGTTATGTGTGCACAACTGTATCCAGTATTTGCAATCTATAAGTGAGGAACAGGCGTTTATTTCCACAATTTGTTTACTAAACTACAGTATTGTATAAGAAAGAGTTCCTAAACTACTCGTTAACTAAGGCTTTTTATTATTTAGGACTGTATACAAACGTTACTATTTGTACAGAACTCTTATTCGTTATTCACGCGTATATTTGTATTATTTCTTAATAGATTAGGGATCGGGTACAAAATATAATTATTTTAAGAAATTAAACCGCAATTTATAAGTAAATCATAATTAAAATAATTATAAAAGTGTTGAATGAAATATTTCACAAGAGCTACAGTAACTGTGTACAGAGATTTTAACATTGTCCGTAATACTGTATTTTTAGTACTGTATAATACAGTATAAATAAAAGTTTGATTTTTATTTTAAGGATATGCTTAAAATAACTTTTTATAAATTCAAAACATAACAGTAATTATTAGTAATACCAAAACGAATTACCATTACATTGTGTAACCTTGATGCATTCACAGTAACCATAAAGAAACTTAAAATCATAGTTACTATTAATGGTGTTTAGAAATGTTATAAAATTTATAATAGCTTGTAATAGTAAACTAAATAATACAACATCTAGGATACAGTATATAACAATATTTTTTGCTAATTATAACCTTAATTTATATCTAACTTATTATAGATAAGTGTTAATTAAAGTCATCATAAAGTATCGTAATTATCTTAAAATTCAATACAAAGATTAATACTAAATTTTAAATTCTATATTTTAGTAATAATAATTTAATTATGATTTACTGTAATAAGTTTATTTTATTATTAAAATAGAGCAATATAGTGACATAAACCTAAATAGTTGTCTAATGACTGTTGGAATTAGTATTAGATTTAAAGTTCATATTTCACTAAATTCACAACAAATTTGTTTTGATGTAATGATTGTATATTTTAATTATTTTGTGTTAAATCAGATACTGTATGATAAGACAAATGAACTGTCGGTTCAATATCTCATATTTTATACAATTTTGTCATTTAATGAATGACACGTTTTGTGGCAAAATACAGGACTGTTTGCCAAATTCAAGAAAACTATAATATATTTGACAAATACTGTATTTATATTCTAATTCTATATTAACATTAAATATACAGAGTTTATCTAAATGTCTAGTTTTTAAAAAAAAATTATATTTAATGTTTTTATTTGAATCAAATGTTATTCAAATGTCTAGTAATATTTATATCGGTAATTTAAAATGCACACATATTAGTAAATAAATTTTAAAATAAATAGTTTTTTATTAAAATATTAAAGAAATATCATATTTTTCATTTATTTGTTTAAATCAGATTCTCGTTTGAATCATTTCTTTCTTTACCGGTAATTGTATTTTAAAGCTTTAATATAAATCGTTTTATGATTAACTAAACAGTTTATCACAATTTAATTTTTAGTAAAAACCAGTTTATGGTTAAGATTTATTTATAAATTTTGAATTTAGAAAATAATTGACTTTGTTCCTTATTTATTGTCCAATAGTTTTAGCAATAGTAATAAAATTTATTAAATAATTAAATTAAAACAAAATATATTCTATTTAATTAGAATTACACAAAAATGTTGTGCTGTTTAATTACATTTATTTTATATGTAATCGTGTTATTAATAGTCGAGAAAGTGGTCAGTATTTGGGCGGAAAGGGAGCCAAATGTGATCTTCAACGACGTGGTCCGGGCGTTGGACACCCTTCCCAAGGAATCCAAAGAAGTTAAGAAAGTTACTATAGAGACGGTGGGAGCGGACAGTAAGCCCGTCAGAGAGACTCATCTCAATGTATCCGAGAGTATAGGAAATGATTCAAAGAATGTTATGATAGCCGTGGCGACAGTCATAGCACTGGCAGGTCTAGGGGTAGCCCTATTACACCACTACAAACCCAATGCTATTAAAGACATATTCTCTGTATTCATACCAAACACTAATTCCTAAAAGAATTTTATAAATCATATAAAAACTCATTATTTTTGTAAAAATTTAATATCTTTTACATTCAAAATATACTTTTGTTATTGAATGCTTTTATATTGCTTTCACTAAAAATATGTAAAAATAACTTATTTTACAATTAATAGGAGAAGTTTATTTATAAATATAAAAATATAATATTTTGCAATTAATTTTATTTTAAAAATAATTACTGTATCTAAAATTTATAATCCCTAAATGTAATATTACAATTCTTTAGTACCGTAAGTGTGGGTCACTATTGGGACTGGAATTACAGCCAAATATTGTTAAGGATAGGTCACAAACAAAGTAAAACTTTGTTTAAACATTATCAGAATATGGCAAATAGATTACATAATTTTATATATAATACAGTTAATTAAGTATTGTATAACTTGCATGCTAAAATCATTGGACGCTATGTGTGCAAAACTGTATTTATTCAATACTGTATTTAAAATTAATGGTGAGAAACAGCCGCTTATTTCCAAAGTTTGTTGACTACTGTGATATAAATTATAATCAAGGATTTGATGTGAAAATTCATGAATGAGTAATATGTTGCGCTCATTTGCACTATTCCTTAATTAATTAGTGAACATTAATTATTTTATACCAGGATTTAAATTAATAGTATACTTTAAGATAATGACTGAATTGGAAATCAAACAATTCAGTACAACTAATAGTGATTTAATAGTACAGTAATACTACAGTATAATTATTTTAATATTGTGTAATAAATGTTAAATATTAAGTTATTCTGAAGGTATGATATGTTTCAAATAAATCATTAAAAATTCAAACATCACAGTAATTGTCATTTAAATCTATCACAATACAGTATAAAAGTTACCAATGGTTACAAAAAACTAGATAACCTTGATACTCTGACTTAATCACAAAGCGGCAATTAAATCGATCATACGTTAATTTAAATTTTAAATGTGCTTGTTACTTTTAAATTAGATACAAAGAGTGGTGTTTTTGAATATTAAATATTGTCACTGTTTTATTATTAATGACTTTTGTGCGAAATTCATATAAATATTGAATACACGACTAGATTTGAGAAACTCTTTGAACTTATAATTTGGATTTGATATGAATGGCAACCATAGGGTCTTCCCATTTGTTATCCACAGAAATCTGTGCCGATCCGTCACTTCCAACTGTTATCTGTTTTCCCGTGCATTTGCCTCCTATTCGTGCGAATGAGACATTCAAATGTATTTTATAAACATTTCACACAACTTATCAGACATTCAATTGAATAAACAAATTGAAAGTCCAGAAAAAATAATAATTCAAAAGAGTTCAATTATTTTATGACTTCAAATGCCTTACCCTCTAAATTACCGGATATTATATCACAATAATTACCGGCCGGTAGACCAGTCTTGAGTTTGGCATTAATAGGCTGATCATCATTATTGATGGCAATAAAGGCTTTGGTGCCGCGACTGAAGGCAATCTGATTGTTGGTGTTGTCCCACCAATTGGTCACCGACTCATTTCCGGCTACATTCCTAAACCCAACCATATTATAGATCTGACGCCACCTGTGCTCACATATCCATTGAGTTTGATTACAACTAAGATCTGGATTACGCTGAACGTCATCTATATTATAGGAGGCGTCGTGTGGCGGACCCATCCAGTCGTTCACATCTTTGCCTCCCTGTACACTCCGGGGCCAGTAGTAGCTACTCATGACACGGGGGACGGCATAGGGCTGAGCCAACATGAAGGCTGTGGCCATCTTTAGGAGTCTGGGCTCGAAGAATGTAATCGTAATACTTATGTCTCCCGAATGTCCCCTCTGGAGGTCGTGACTATCAACCATTATAAGTGCATCATCGGATGGTAACATTCCCCACCCGGTGCCCCAGTTCTTGAAATACGCGAGTTTTTGGTTATCTTTCTTACGAAAAACATGACCCAAATTATCAAAAGCTTTGAATTCAATCACTCGACCTAATGGTGTATATTCTGATGCCTTTATTCTGGTGCCGGATATGTACTCGTGATAGACAAATGGTTTACTATTAGCCGGGAAGTATGTGGTGTTGAGGGTATGTAGCCTTGAGATTATGTTTTTGAGGTCTTCGGGCCACTGGTGTTTGGATGCGTCCGACCGAAAGCCGGCGACTCCGATGTCAATGAGTTTATTGAGAAATTCTGACTGTTTTTGGCGCACATTTTCTCGGCCCTGATTGAGATCCCGGAGCCCTCCTAACTGACAGTTCCGAGCTTGATCAGGGTCGTCGTAGTCTTGAATATTAAGGTCCGGTGTTTTACAGACGTCTTTTCCGTGGAAGTCCTCGGCCACGAACGGGACAGCCGGGTATGACTCCTTCACGCCATCATATGTATCACCTGCCGTTCCCTTACCTGTGATTACAGAATAATTTAACAAATAAATTAATTGTTATTATAAATTACATAATATACGGTATACCTGTTTGAACACCAGTCATATGGTTGAGCACTACGTCCACATATATCCGGACACCAACCTTATTACAGCGTTTAACCATATCTGCGAATTGCTGTTCATTACCACTCCTGCCATCAATCTTATAGCTGACGGGTTGATACCTTTCCCACCAGGGTCTCCGGTCTATATTAGCGCACTCGTGAACCGGCGACAACTGAACCCCTCCGAAACCATACGGTCCTAAAAATAGTTCACANTGGAGCACTTCGGCGAGAAAGTGGTCAGTATTTGGGCGGAAAGGGAGCCAAATGTCATCTTCAACGACGTGGTCCGGGCGTTTGACACCCTTCCCAAGGGATCCAAAGAAGTTAAGAAAGTTACTATAGAGACGGTGGGATCAGTCGGTCAGCCCGTCAGAGAGACTCATCTCAATGTATCCGAGATTATAGGAAATGATTCAAAGAATGTTATGATAGCCGTGGCGACAGTCATAGCACTGGCAGGTCTAGTGGTAGCCCTATTACACCACTACAAACCCAATGCTATTAAAGACATATTCTCTGTATTCATACCAAACACTAATTCCTAAAAGAGTTTTATAAATCATATAAAAAACTCATAATTTTTGTAAAAATTTAATATCTTTTATATTTAAAATATACTTTTGTTATTGAATGCTTTTATATTGCTTTCCACTAAAATAACTTATTTTACAATTAATAGGAGAAGTTTATTTATAAATATAAAAATATAATATTTTGCAATTAATTTTATTTTAAAAATAATTACTGTATCTAAAATGTATAATCCCTAAATGTAATATTTACAATTCTTTAGTACCGTAAGTGTGGGTCACTATTTGGACTGGAATTACAGCCAAATATTGTTAAGGATAGGCCACAAACAAAGTAAAACTTTATTTAAACATTATCAGAATATGGCAAATAATTTTATATACATTTAATTAAGTATTGTATAACTTGCTTGCTAAAATCATTGGACGTTATGTGTGCACAACTGTATTCAATCAATAGATTCATTATTCAATTCAATTCAATACTGTATTTACAATTAATGGTGAGAAACAGCCGCTTATTTCCAAAGTTTGTGACTACTGTGATATAAATTATAATCAAGGATTTGATGTGAAAATTTATGAATGAGTAATATGTTGCGTTCATTTGCACTATTTCTTAATTAATTAGTGAACATTAATTATTTTATACCAGGATTTAGATTAATAGTATACTTTAAGATAATGACTGAATTGTAAATAAAACAATTCAGTACAACTAATAGTGATTTAATAGTACAGTAATACTGCAGTATAATTATTTTAATATTGTGTAATAAATGTTAAATTATTAAGTTATTCTGAAGGTATGATATGTTTCAAATAAATCATTAAAAATTCAAACATCATAAAAATTGTCATTTAAACCTACTACAATATAAAAGTTACCAATGGTTACAAAAAACTAGATAACCTTGATACTCTCACTTAATCACAAACCGGCAATTAAATCAATCATACGTTAATTTAAATTTTAAATGTGATAGTTACTTTTAAATTAGATACAAAGAGTGGTGTTTTTGAATATTAAATATTGTCACTGTTTTATTATTAATGACTTTTGTGCGAAATTCATATAAATATTGAATACACGACTAGATTTGAGGAAAACAAATATACAAAACAGAAACTCTTTGAACTTATAATTTGGATTTGATATGAATGGCAACCATAGGGTCTTCCCATTTGTTATCCACAGAAATCTGTGCCGATCCGTCACTTCCAACTGTTATCTGTTTTCCCGTGCATTTGCCTCCTATTCGTGCGAATGAGACATTCAAATGTATTTTATAAACATTTCACACAACTTATCAGACATTCAATTGAATAAACAAATTGAAAGTCCAGAAAAAATAATAATTCAAAAGAGTTCAATTATTTTATGACTTCAAATGCCTTACCCTCTAAATTACCGGATATTATATCACAATAATTACCGGCCGGTAGACCAGTCTTGAGTTTGGCATTAATAGGCTGATCATCATTATTGATGGCAATAAAGGCTTTGGTGCCGCGACTGAAGGCAATCTGATTGTTGGTGTTGTCCCACCAATTGGTCACCGACTCATTTCCGGCTACATTCCTAAACCTAACCATATTATAGATCTGACGCCACCTGTGCTCACATACCCATTGACTTTGATTACAACTAAGATCTGGATTACGCTGAACGTCATCTATATTATAGGAGGCGTCGTGTGGCGGACCCATCCAGTCGTTCACATCTTTGCCTCCCTGTACACTCCGGGCGGTCATCATCGATGAGTACTGTGCCCCCTGCCGTATCCCGACTCGGTTGTACTTCCGACACCGGTAGAAATCCTCAGACCCGAGCTTCTTACATTAGCATTATGAATACAGAGGGCTTACAGGGGACTGGAGGTCGTGACTATCAACCATTATAAGTGCATCATCGGATGGTAACATTCCCCACCCGGTGCCCCAGTTCTTGAAATACGCGAGTTTTTGGTTATCTTTCTTACGAAAAACATGACCCAAATTATCAAAAGCTTTGAATTCAATCACTCGACCTAATGGTGTATATTCTGATGCCTTTATTCTGGTGCCGGATATGTACTCGTGATAGACAAATGGTTTACTATTAGCCGGGAAGTATGTGGTGTTGAGGGTATGTAGCCTTGAGATTATGTTTTTGAGGTCTTCGGGCCACTGGTGTTTGGATGCGTCCGACCGAAAGCCGGCGACTCCGATGTCAATGAGTTTATTGAGAAATTCTGACTGTTTTTGGCGCACATTTTCTCGGCCCTGATTGAGATCCCGGAGCCCTCCTAACTGACAGTTCCGAGCTTGATCAGGGTCGTCGTAGTCTTGAATATTAAGGTCCGGTGTTTTACAGACGTCTTTTCCGTGGAAGTCCTCGGCCACGAACGGGACAGCCGGGTATGACTCCTTCACGCCATCATATGTATCACCTGCCGTTCCCTTACCTGTGATTACAGAATAAT